AAAATAATTATAAAAATATAAATATAACTTTGGCTAATGACAAGATAAATAGTTTCACAGAATGATCGACTACATCTTCTGTTCAATATTTTTCCTTTCTTCGATTTATTTTTCCGATGCTTTTTAATATGGTACTTTAATTAGATTATTAATAAACTTTTGTTAATTCTTATTTAATTTCAAAAAAAAAAGCCTCTCTATCTGTTTTATAATTTCTTTTTTAAAACACCTTTGTGTAGTCAGGTTAAAAAAGTAGTGGACTTATAATCTATCTATAGGTAGTGGGTTCAGATCACGTATTCCAAAGATCATCATATAGCATCTTAATCTCAAAGCCATCATTGGCATGTGTATGATGAATAGGGTGTTCACAGGTGTTTTTTTCGTCTTTTGGCTATACAGTAGGTGATCGGTTAACGAACATAATCCGTTCCAAGACTATGTTCGCTATCCGAATTGTTCGTTAACCGATCATCGATTCATCATAGACTTCTATGTGAAATCGATTAATTCGTTCTGGAGACCCTAAAAATTAAATTTTAAAAAATGTATAATTTCTTAGTAAGTTTTTTAAAAAATAATACATACATATAGTCTTGTATATTAATCAGTCCTTTTCATTTTTTGCTTATGGGGCGTTGAAGAACATGTCCAATGTCGATTGTTTTTCTCTCTTTTTCAGGATTTTCCGGTAGTTAATAGCATTGTCGTTGTAAAGATCCCCAACCCTACTGATATCAGCTCGGTTTGGGTGCCATTCTAAGACCATTGATCTGACAGCCTCCCACTTTTTCAAAAGATCTTTAAAGGCAGATGTCGGCATTGGTCCTCTTTCGTCTTCCTCTTGTTTAGAAGGAGACACATTTCGTTGTGTTTCTTGGAGTTCTATCGTTTGTTCATCTTCATGTCCCATTATGAGCTCTTCTATGTCATCCTCGTTCACCTCCAACTCCAGATCTCTAGCAGTTGTCAAAACTTCATCCATAATTTAAGGGGGTGTCTCCCTGATCACCTCCGAATATGTGTTCGTTGTCCAAACACAAAAAAAAATCTTTCTTGAAAGTGTTCGTTATCCGAATATGTGTTCGTTGTTTAAACACAAAAAATCTTTCTTGAAAGTGTTCGTTATCCGAATATGTGTTCGTTATCCGAACACAAAAATCTTTCGTGAAAGTGTTCGTTAACCGATCACCCACTGTAGTTCAAAATAACGAGATCCGTTGCCCAATAGTCCTCTTATAATTCTATAATGCAACAATAATTCAAACAAAAAAAATTCTCAAACCCCCTTTTTATTCCCCTCTAAATCTAAAACCTTCTATAGCAAAATATTTTTATCTGCTTACCATCAAGCTCCACCTTAGCACCCAGAAATAAAACTTCACAACCTTATTTTATCTTCGAATGCGTATGTAGGGTGAAGAATAGAGTAAGTAAATATGTACCCATTGATCTACATAAAGGGTTCCCATTTATTTATATCTCCTTCGTTCAGCAACCATTCACCGTAGCTAAAAATGTGTCAGGCGCGAGGGACGGCTAAAAAAGAAAGATGGACGCGCGGCCTTTGGAAGTGTCACGATAACAATGTCGCGTGATGATTTATCTCGGTCCTCAGTTAGGCTACAGTGAAGCGTCGACCGCGTTTAGATATGTCAGTTAAGCATTTTGATGCCTTGTGCTATACTATAAAGGTAAGAACCGAAAGGTCATTGTAATCCTGGTTGAAGGAATCGAAAATTTATACTTTATAACTATATGTGCAAGCCACTCACAAAAATTCTTTTTTGAGTAGTCAGTACTTTAAAGCTTTATTTAAAAGTATATAAGTTGGAGGGTTTATTTATTTTTTTGTGTGTGTGTCATATTTGAGTTTGAAATTTTTTTTCCAAGTCAGAACAGCTATAGTTGAGACCTGTATTTATACATATTGTCACTTGCGTACAAAGCCTCCCCCCTCTTTGTGGCCGCGGTAGCGTAATGGTTATGGTCGTGGCTGGAGTGTCGCGGGTTTGGTTAGTGGTGGGGGAGAGGAGAGGGGTGCCAGCTCAGGTGTCGTCCTCGTCACTTGACCAAGGTTCAAAATTACAAGGTCCGTTGACAGTAGCCCTCGAGTTGCTTTGTAGTGCGACGTCAAAAAAACTGCCAAAGTCACTCGTTAATGACAAAATGGAGTTATTAAAAGTTAATATTCAGATTTTGATTTGATCGTTCTAAATTAAACTCATTTTACTTTTGAATGTCTTCAACCAACCCGCTAAAATTCGAATGTTTTACAACATTATTATGAAATGATAATTAGTATAAATTAGATATTTTTTTTTACTGTGCAAGTAAAAATATTTTTGTTCTTTACTTCGGTCTAAAATTTAAAAAAAAAAAAAAGATATGCTTGTGTTTGTTTCCCCTTTGGTTTATGTTCTACAATTCATGCTGAAACCTTTATCAGCACATTCGACCCTCCCTCTCCCTCTCTCTTTCTTTCCTTTTCTGCTGGAGAACTAGAGACTAAAAGTTAATTTGTAAACGCTTTTCGTTATTCTTTTTTATTGCAAGCACTGTTGACCTAATCGAAAGATCGGTGATTGATTTATGATCTTCATTCTCGTGAATAAAAATGTGTCTCGCGCTGTCGCTTTCAATAAGCTCTTATATTGGGCCAGTGTCTGAGATGACCGACAAAGCTTCTGTCAAACATTTATAAACAACACATCTTCGATCACCCCGTTATCTCCAGAACTATTCAGAAGTGCTGACGTCGGCCATATTTGGGTATGCGTGGGTATTTTCCGCAGAACCGCGAGATGCTCCATGCACAACACTATAAACAAAGTCGCACATTCCTCATATGGGCCATGCCAAGGACTGTGTCTCTTTCTCTATACGTAAAATGTCACTTGAACAATCACCGTCCTTCAGAAATTATAAAAAGCTTTTTATTTTTTAAGAAAATATTGCCTATCATGTTGACAGTGCACTAAATGGGGGGAAAAAAGGTATTGATTCGTCTTGTTCAAAAAATAGCTAAAATGTTTGACATATTTTAAACTTTCGCATTGTGTGTGTATGCATAGGAAGAGAAAAGAGCTATATTTAATTTATTTCTGCGTAAAATTGAAACTGTGTTCGGTGATCGTAATCTGAGTACTAACCTATTTGCTGTTGCTGTTCTTTATTCTCTATTATTCAGTAGTTTAACTTGACTTATCAATTAGTAGAATCGAAGCTCGAATACTAATGAGTTGTTTAAAGCTTGGTGTTTGCATTTAAAGTCGTGAAGAGTCTTTATGTAAATCATTTAAAATCTCACTCACTGTATGGATTAAAGTTCCTTTTGTATCCATTGTTTACGGAAGCTTTCTGTACTTTGGCGAAAATTACTATTATGGTATCTCTATTCAAAACAGGATGATATGTCATTTTATATTTTTCCAGGTAGTTATTTCTGGACGACGGGGGAAATTTCGGTTGAAATGGTTATTTAGGAATCTATCCGAAGAACTATTTCCCTTTCAAAATAAAAATAAAACGACTACACACACACACACCATGTAACTGTTTTCTTTTAATCAAAAAAATAAATAAATAAAAAATGCAAATGCAATCAAAAATGTTTCTACGGTATCTATTGCACTAGCTAAGAGTACAAAGAATATATATCTAAATGACTGTTTAAAAAATTAATTATTGATTATATTAAAATAGCGCTATGAAGCAACACGAGAGCTATCAGCAATGAATCTCGTAATTTTGAACTTCGGTCTAGTGAAGGTTGACGCTGGAACCGTGGTACTCTTCACTTTAAACTTCTAGATCACATTAACGTGAACACTTTGAACCTTGATAGATTTAATGTGTATTAGCCTCTCTACTCTTCGGGTCTTAAAAGGCACTAATAACAAGAACAATGCCGGCTTAGAGTTCGCGCCCATGATTCCCGTAACGACTACAGTTATTTTTGGATAGAAGCTGTGGTGTAACGTACGCCCCCCATCGCATCGCGGGAGGGGTGCGAATTCTAGGGGGCCTAAAACCTGACTGACGCCAAGTACGTACCCTTTGTTATAACTTAGGGCCCACACACAAAATCTGACTTTGCAAGGGGGCTCTACTATTATCCGTTACGCCACTGGATTCGGATCGTAGCTTGCCTTGTCACGAGTTCGAGCCCAGTACCACTAAAGACCCGCCGTGTAGGGCAGCGATGCACGTTAAATCTGTCGAGAGTTGAAACGTCCTCCCATTGGTGTGGTGTGGTAGTTAGGAGAGGGGGTGCCAGCTCAGGTGTCGTCCACGTCACTTGACCGTGGTTCAAAATTACGTGGTCTGTCGCCAAAAGCCCTCATGTAGCTGAACAGTGCGACGTTAATATTCAATCAATCAATCAATATGCCACTGGATAGAAGCCATCAGTCCATTGTACATTTGTGATGAGACATAAAGGATCAGATTGAAATTTATTATTTAAAACGTATAAATCTAAAATGTATAATGGAATATTTGCGATTTCCGCACCTTTTTTTTAACTTGTAAAATGTATATTCCGACAAGTATACACGATTAGCAAAAATCGTACATAGATACTTGGGATATCCATGACGTTCGTAACGTCTGGAATAAATGCAGAAAATTGAGTACTTTTTTTTTGGATTAATACCGAAAAGATATCATGATTACGTTTTATGTAATCTTTCCTCGTGGAAAGCAGATTTATTTATAAACCATTATTTATTTTATCATTTTGGTTAAAAACAATTGTTTAAATAACAAGTAATATAAAAAAATTTGTAAGTCTTTCTACTTAGGTCAACAAGGAAAAATTTTATTTTAGTTACTTTTTATTAAACAATTACAATTAATATAAATATGTATATACATATGACAGAACCACAGTATTAAGTGGCAAAATAGAACGCGATTTTGATTTCAACATATGGCGGACTATTATTTTTGTTTTTTACTATTTATTTATTCATAAACCACCTTCTCAGAAATAAGGCCATCCCAGGTAGGATTCGACCCACGACCTTTGAATTGGAAGTCCAACGCGCTATTCATTGCTCTACAGGGACACAATGAGAGGTTTTCCTTTTTATATATGGTGTTGGACTATATTATTTTTGTTTGTTACTATTTATTCACTAATTAAATTTAATTAATGAATTAATATTTGATAAAAAAACTGTAGTAACATCAAGTGTGCCATCCACTACAAGCTCAAAAAATGTATTTGAACTTGAGTGGATGAATAAAAAATATTTTAATAACGATTGAAAATTTGAACAAGATATGTATACAGTCGGACCTCTATATAACGAAGTCGCTAAATCTCGTAAAAAAGTTCGTTATATGGAAAATTCGTTGTATAGAGGTTCATCCTTTAATATAGTTTATAAATCACGTAAAACAAATTTTAAATTCATAAACATGATCTCTTAAAAAGAGTAATTATTCACACTTTTTTTCAAAATTTACATATGCTTATTTTATATATCTTACCTATCAAAAAAGAAAGAAAAACTGCAAGGAAAACAAGAAAGTATTTCGAAGAATTCACTGTATTTTCAATATTAAGAAAATAATATTATGCTAAAATTAATGAATTTTAAGGACATTATATAATTTAAGTCATGCAAGTAATATCAAACATACATTATTTTATAATAAGTACACGGGGACCCGAGACAATTCCACTGAGGGTGAAAGAGGATATCGAAGATGTTTCTAGTGAACTGGGCAATGGGGGTTAAAAGTTACACTTTTTGGATGAGACGTCCAGAACTCTATTGCTTTCGGTGAGTTGGGATCTAATAAAACCTTTTCAAGATTTATGACCACCATAAAATGTGTTAAAGAGAGAATAACTTGAAATTTTTTCTGAGATACCTTAAAAAAAGAGAGAACAAAAACTGAATCCCAAAAGAAAAAGTTCGTTACATAGAAAATCCACTTCTCTATAGAGAGGTTATTAAACGAAGAAAATCGTGAAATGTGCAAGGTTCCCGGAAAAAGTTCGCTATATAGAAAAACTCGCAATGTAGAGGTTCGTTAAAAAAAGGTTCGACTGTATATATATAGGGAGAGTGTGAACTAATAGTAGGAATTGAAAAAAGATAAGCATTCTGTGTTTTATTTTTCATATGCATAATTTCTGATTTTTTATTATTTTTAAAGGATGAGTGAATTAAAAAATAAATTAATCGTAGGCAATTAAAATCAAGGGCGTAGCTATACCGCCGTATCAGTGATACGCGGCTCCTAATCTACAGGGGCCTTAACATGTATAATATTTTGTTACTTTCAAATAAGTTTTATCAATACAATCAATTTCATTATTTTCCAAAAAGGGACCTTAAGGAATTTTGATACTGGGCCCCCTCAGGACTAGCTAAGCCAGTAATTAAAATGCATTTGGTTCTTTGGGTACTTTTATTCCAAAGATGTCCGTACTTTCTGGGCGGATTTCCGAACATGTTATCCATCGCGAATCATGTTTCATGTCTCTCATCTCATCCTATGAATTGATATTTGGATTAAACTTTTGAGAATGATATCTTTCTTCTTAGCCTAATGGATTTTATCTGTTTACATGGCGCTGGCATATTCAAAGTTGAGCCGCACTAATCGGTCCTGTTTCTATCTTTTTTATGTAATGATGTAATTATTGATAGGGTAGTATTTTGTGATTGATTTCCGTTTGGATGGAGTGTGTGTTAGTACTCTGTGTCTTAATTTGCTTTAGGAGGCTGTTAAAGTTAGATTTATTTCGGACCTTGAATTGTTCCGATCTACATTTACTAGTGGTAAGAAAAAATTAATTCTTTTTATTGTCTTTTGCCCAACTTTGTACTTTTTCTCTTGAATGCAAGGAAAAATATCGTAAGTTATAAAAGTTCAGTGTGTTTTTGTGACTTCATTGTTTCCATCATGTAAAAAAAAATTCCGATTTCCGTGAATAACTACTTTTTAACAACTATTGGTTCCATAGTTTTGTTTCTTAATTATTTCTTAAATTGGTTATTTGTTTTTTATTTTATGTTAGGCATTTTTAATTATCCCTTTAAGACCCCGCTCGCACGATCGTTTTTCTTCGGGTTATTAACACTGTACTGACCCCAATGACACTGGAAAAAATATTTTTTCAAAGAAAATTTCCATCCCCCTCTTCTTCTTTGAAATGTGGAATGTTCCAGCGCGAATTTGCGGGTTAGTTTTCAAAGGGTTATACTGCAAACTTTTTTAGAGTACATATATCTCTAACAAAAGTGTTTTTCTAATATAAATTTTGATTTTTCAAAAGTAAAAATGTGGTTTTTTTTATATAGTTAGAAAAATCGCAAACTTAAATGCTTTAGATAAATATCTAGGTACATTACAAATCATTTATTAAAATACTATCATTTCATTAAAGTTGAACCGATAATTATTGTTTCATTTTTATGTGTAATTTTTTCTCCTGTATTTTTTTATCATCCGATTACTCTATGTATGCTTATCTTTTCTGTTTCAGTTGATTAGCGGGGTCGCCCATGACCTAGATTTGATGCTCCAGGATTTGTTTCCTGATGCCATTCCATCACCTCTGAGAGAAGAGTATGGATTTACGGATGACATCGCGCTGGACCACGAATCCTTTGCCAAGTGAGATAGATGCCTTTCCCTTTTGCTTGCTAAAATAAAATTTCAATATTCATATTTGTTTTAATATGAAAAGGTGATTTCAAAAGTAGAAGGAAGTGATTTTTATATGCAAAAATTACTGTATTGTTTCAATTTATCAAAAATTTTCAAATTTAGAATTTCAAAGTGGATGTTTCTCGTAATGTTTCTAAATATAGTTATTTGAGAGATATTATCACTCTGCGCGCGCCTATTCTATTTACTTGTATAGTCTACACAGTGCTTCAAATCGTGTATAACCTACGGACAGCTATTAATAGTAGACTATTTTGGTTAAAATGGAATTAAATCGGTCCCCCACCTCCTTAATAGGTACATCACCCCCCCTCCCCACGTACACACTGTTAAAACTTACAAAAATCAATCGTGCGCCATTGATGGATAAAAATCTGTTACATTAGTTGTTGAAGATTTTAATTATATGGTTTTTATCTATCTCTCTTTTTTTAGGTATTTTTATTACTATTCGTTGTTCAAGTTATCTGTTCTTATTTGAATTATTATACATTTTTCGTAAACTTTTACACGATACATGTTTCTTTCGTGTATTTGCTAAATTCGATCGATATCATTATTAACAGAAGAAACAAAATTTTCTGTTTTTTCTGGTCTAAGAAATGGAAATTTATCAAATCATCTGCGTTTTGTACTTTTCAACACTTTGCGGTAGCCTTAATGCTTTTGCTTATATTTTTAAGAGATAAGCCTGTTATCGGCCTCAAATAACCCCTGGATGATTTGACTGGAAATAAAACTAATAAAATAGAAACACTCCTTGAATTTTACATACGTGACGATACTGGCTTTGAAATGTTTTTACAGGCTGCTGTGCAATGCTTTTTGAGTTAAGGGCGAGGATATATGGTTATGCTAGTAAGGTGATTCTAATAACCGATGCGACTGATTTAAAATGTTACTTTTTAAAAGATGTTTTTCCTGCTGTGGTAAGAAAAAATAGAGTACTTTTTTTAAAAAAAATTTGACAGTAATATTTTTTTATTCTGAGAAAATGTGTTTTGTTGTATTCTCTCAAAGGAAGTCGACAGTTGTCCAGACAAAACTAGCAGCTATGTTCCCTCTTCTTAAAAAACAGTTCTTCATATTTTACTCTTATGATTTGAAATAATTTGCTTTTTATTTTAGAATTATTATTTGAATATTCTCTTTTTCTCTTAATTCATCCCCCAAATTTTCCAGTTATCATTTTATTGTATTTTTTTTAAATAATTGAATTCTTAAATTTTATTACTTTTTGTAAATAAAATTATCTATGTTATCAATCAATTATGTTTTAAAATCCTATGTAGAGGAATAAAGAAGCTGTTTAAAAAGTTATTTTTAATTAATTTTAATTTTGCATACTTGAATACCTAAGAAATAAATATTGATCCATCAAAGAATGTTAGCTTAATATATTTACAAGATAAACTAAAATTGACAAAATAATTAAAACCTCAGAAATGGTATTATAGCTATTAGTTTATTTTATATCATCATTTTAAATTTTGGTTAAATTAAATTAAACTTAGTTTACATATTTTAACTAACAAAGGTTCTTGTATATATTTTCTTTTTTACTATCTTTGATTAATTTTCTGTAAATATTTCAATTTGTTTTTTGATAAGAAATTCGAAAGAAATATTTGCATAACTTTGCTATTCTTTTGGGAATCTTAAAATTTTTAGTTATTTGGAAAATTTCAAACCTTTAAGATTAACAATAATTAAAAAAGAATATCCACTCTTTAAACTTATAAGTCTAATTAATATGCCGGGAACATTTTTATTAAAAAAAATAAGGGTATTATTCAATTAATGTGAATTTTAGAAATATATAAAAAATCAAATCATATGAAGTTTAAAACTGAAATTACTAAATTTAATAAAAACAATAGAAAAACCATTACTCATGTTTGTTCATTTACAGCCATGCCACTCTATTGGAGCAGTTCATGCGAGGAGCTGGACCGGATGCCGCCTTCCTCGAAGGTGGGCCTGCAGATGCGTGCGGCGAGTACAGAAGCCGTAAGTCCCTGTTTGCGGAGACCCCCACCTCTGACAGCTGTGACGGTAGGACTACCCCTACTAGTACTTCTTCTCCTTCACCTCCACCTCCTGCACCTCCTCCTCGGTCTGTGCCTCCTCCTCCTGCAGACTACTCTGCGCACCTCCAGGGCTCTATGGGTGCTCAGGTATCTGTTGCTCTCTCTGTTGGGGAGGTGCCTTTTCTTTCTATAACAAACTAACACATTTTCACATGAAAGAGCCTCAGTATTAATCACAAGAGTATCTGTATTTTATTTTGTAATTTTTGCATTGTGGTTTATTTTCTTTATCCTTTTGAAGTTTATATTATATGTTTATATCACACCCTCACTCATGAATATTTTAA